CCGAGGACACTTGTAGAACCTTCAAGCCGGGTTTTCATTCGTGTCAACACATCACAATCTTCGCCATGATGACATAGTCTGACTTCCATCGGACTATTATTGGACGATCTATAATAGCGATTGCTTGAACTCGTGTTTGAATCCTGTGACATGGTACTTACCTGAAAAGGGTAAAATGATTATGGTAAACAAAATCTTAGCACTTTTCGTAGTCCTCGAAACTAAAACATATCATTCATTGATATAACATATATCCATGAAAAGGCACACAAAGAAACTTCAGTTTCCCATATAAACGTCAAATTACAAAATTACAAAAGGCACACAAAGAACCATTAAATTCTTCCTCACAGTCAAAGCAAATCCATAATAAAGCTTAAAACTGATTTTCCAGCAGTCTGTGATATCTCAACATCCATCACTAATGAGCCGAATGCATCTAACTTTACTCACTGAACAGTCAAGATAGAAACACACATAATAAGTGTTATTTATCGGGGCATTCACCTTATAGAAATGCACAAGATAGAAACACACAAAATCAGAAACCTCAAATTGGCTGCTCTGCTCTACATCCACAACACAACATTATTGATCTGTCCATATACATATCATCCTTCATAACACATCACAACTGGAATATGATGAAATACATGGATTCAGACGGCAAAAGGTAATTACTACCCCATATGAACATAATAATTCAGAACCACAACAAGAAGGACATATCTGAAATGAGAATAACTACCCAAAGAAAAATAAATTCATGTCAAATATTAACCAGGAAGACAATCTCTTCCACATAGAGGTAAATACAACTGAAATGAATTCAAACAGGGTAACGTCAATACGGACAATCATTTTCATTACAAATTGCCATGCTTCCAAATTCCAGATTACTCCTAGTATTTCTAGTAAAGAAATAGGAGAATTTTTTGTTTTACCGAACCGCACGTAGAAATATTAATAATACACGAAATATTAATAATACACATAGAGTTAATGGTATTTCATAACTAATTGATTGAGCAGCAGCCCTTAATTCAAATTTACCTCAAAGGGAATATTTCTTATTTGACCCATATCGCGACATAACAAGTCCAATGGGAGCAAGAATTTGGTTCGAAAATGCATCAGCTACGTACATAGGGTTCAAAAATGCAACTTTTTTTCTAATTTGGGGATTTCATATTTCCTATTATTGGCCTACGAAATGTGAACCTAGGGTTTCGAAAAGCAACAAGACGACGAAAATCGAACAATTTAATGTTAAAAATTAGGGTTTGTTGGTGTACCGTTGGCCTCGTCACTCGTCGTCTCTATATTTTCACTCGCCGTCGTCCCCTTCAGAACACGCAGCCCACACTACCGGAGAAAATTCGTCCGCTTCAGTCTTCACTCGCCGGTCGTTGTCGGAATGTCGCGCTCGTACCTTGCTGTCGACCGAGCCCTCGACTACAATTTAGGTTTCTGTGGAATTTCAAAAGTGGGCAAAAATCGTTCGAAAATGAAAGTTTACTTCATTTGGACATCTTATATTGCAGGGGCACATTTGACATTTGAAAAGTTAACTTATCACTTAGTCCTACAAAGTAAACGATAGATTTGTTTCGGAAAACTGCATAACACAAAGTAAACGAGGGACACAAAGCTGACTTGTAAAGTGATCCGGATTATTTAGTGTAATCCTGTCCTTCAAAGTAAACGGCCCCTAAAGGTACTAAGCCACAAAACATAATATTTACATTAAACATAGTACCAATAGGTTTGCCGAACCGTAGTTTTGGAGTGACCGTTGTGATTTGTATCATTTTTCCAG